AAAAAAAAAACCTAATTTGTTAAATACCCTAGTCACTGTTCGCCTATAAATATGAAAATTCGGTTGAAATTAACGTGATTGGTGTGACATTGCATATGCCTAAATTAAAGAGACAACTCATAGTTGAGGGAAAAAGCTAACTGGAAATAGTGTCACGCGGATAATGAAAAATTGTTCGCTAATCCCACATACTCCAGATCAATTATCCGGAATCTAAATCAATATTTAATTAATTTAATTAATTTGAAGGCGTATCGTTCATAATGGAAAATAATGTTCTGCAACGTGATGAGAACTCCACAAAGGTTGAAGATGAGAACTTGACAGACACCGAAGTACCTGACGTTTCGTCACTTCATATAAAGTCACGATTAAGTCCCCAAACAATTTGCGAAAATACTGATAAACCACGTGCTAATGGATTACAACAAATCAATGGAGTTTATGCATCTCCAAAATTAAATTTCGATTCGCAGACACCAGACACACCTAGGACTGTCGACACTAGTCGTTTGAATCAACTACGTAAATATCATTTTTTTAGATAATAAGGAATAGGGTGAGTGGAGGTGCAATGAACTTCTTGTTATCATACATTCTTGTTTATTAAAGTTAGATAATTCAAGAGCATTTCTACCAGAGGGAACTCATTCCTGATGGTAGGATTGTCAGACCAGAAATTATGAGCATTTAATTTGCTAGTATTGATAATAAAAGAAGATCCATTCCCCCTATGCTACCCTTCAATTTGCATTTTTTCATGTTTTACAAAGTTTTGATAATGTCTTCAGTTACAGATAAAACGGAAACCACGTGCATAGAAAATGAAGATAGTGACATAATCTATGTTAGCTATAGTAGTGAATTACAAATGCCAGACATTATGAAATTGATTCAAAAGGATTTGAGCGAGCCTTATTCTATTTATACGTATAGATATTTTATTCACAATTGGCCGAAATTGTGTTTTTTGGTAAGTACTTGTGCAGACAATATAATATGTTGAATGTACATCTTAAATAAAAATTGTTTACTCCACTAAAAAATGTGAGATTTTATAAATTTTGCACAACTATCTAATTTTCTCAGAAGATCGCCTCGCATCTCTGTTATTTCATATCAAAATTTTTATTTTGGCGAAGAATTTCCGTGAAGAAAAATAGCATGAACTCTAATAAAATTACCAAATATTGAATAAAATATTATTCGAAGTAATATTAGATGCACAAGTAATGAGAGGATTTAATGGCTCATTATTTAATCAAATCTTTTACTTGTTCACAGGCAATGCACGAAGAAGAATGCATTGGAGCAATCGTCTGCAAGCTTGATATTCATAGGAAAGTGATAAAACGTGGTTATATCGCGATGCTAGCTGTCGATGTTAACTACAGAAAACGCAAAATAGGTTCTAGCTTGGTACGTAGAGCAATCCGTGCTATGGTTGAGGATGATGCTGACGAAGTAGTACTGGAAACTGAAATAACCAACAGACCGGCGTTAAAACTGTATGAAAATCTTGGGTTTGTCAGAGATAAAAGACTGTTTCGTTACTATCTCAACGGTGTTGATGCGTTAAGATTGAAACTGTGGCTCAGATGAAATTTATCCGCGTGTTCGTGTCAATCAGTTAGACTTTGAATAATTAGTTTTGAGTTGAAATTCTGAATATAGGCAGATATCTTCGGAGGAATTTTTGACATTACCTAAATGTTGAGAACAATTTGTTTTCTGTCGATGCCTTTTCATGTTTGTGGCGTGATTCCGCCTAAAATCAATTCAGAAAGAAAAGATGGGAAAAATCAGTTCCAAGCTGGACTTACTGGAAAGAATTTAAGATATAAATATCCATTCATCAAGTGAACCATCTGCTTGAAAATACTACTATCAGTTCAGGGTAGAGTGAATTTAAATTTCTTATGGTCTGATGGAAAAATTGTGGCTGTGAGAGCCATCAAAGAATCAATAGATCTCTTCTGGAATACTGTAATGACAGCGTATGTCATATGCTGTTCAATCTAATAACAGCTCGATAAGCAAAAAATAAAACATTTGGAACGTCTCGTGGAGATTTACACTATCAAATTTTACCTCGGATGCAAAATGAACTTTTAAAGCAGTTCATTCACTCATTATTGTCTATGTAATATATTGTATGCAAAAAGTAATCAAATTGAAGAACATTGGAACTGGGGAAATATCGTAATGTAACAAAAGTATGTCTAAAACTAATAAAGAAGCTAAACTGTTTTTATCCACAGATGTCATGATGAATTTTCATTGGAATCACTCACCGATTGGATTGAATAATTTTTCTACCTTTATTGAGATTTCGGCTGATGAATTTTTTAATGAATGTTTCATAACCAAAAGTATGTGAAATTGAATCGTGGATAATTTTTAAATGTAATGATATGATTGATTATAATTAGATGAATTTTCATCTTATTGCAAATCGTAAAATTAAATAAAATAGGGAATTTTTCATGGTGATTCCAGTAAAAGAGTATAATCGTTGTAGAGAGTTGTGTAGTGAACATTTCAAGATTTTCTGTTAAATTCGTTTATTGACGTTACTTTGAAATTCTTGAACCTTAGAATAGGTAAATGAACAAATAAATAAGATTTATTTCAGAATTGAGAGCATGCACCCTTACACATTGAACATTGCTGCCATTTCTACCATACCGACAATGCTTGAATTGACTCTTTGGATGAATTCCAACAAGTGGCAAGCAGTGAAACTAGTCTTCAATGCTTTCAAAATTAAGTTCACTTTTTAAAGAAAAACGAGAGAACATTGCAGGATTTTCTAACGGATTACTTTGAACACCTCATCATGAAAAGATCATTGATCCTTGATCATTGATCATTGATCTCTGGATTCCATGTTTTCAGCAGGAAAGATCCCAGTTTTTCAGGAGTTATTGCCGATAAATTGTTGATAAATCCTGGATCAGATGGACGTGGAAAAATATACCGTTTTCAAATTGCACCATTATTCAAAGCCTAACTAATTTTCATAGGCGTGCGTCTATTTTTATAAATCTTTGATACAGTTTTGTGAATTTTTGTAAATAAAACTTAACCATATTTTTCCCGCCAATTTAAACAATCGTTCCTCAAAAATTTGTACAGAAAACTTGAAAATGAGAAGATATCGGCAATAATTCTTTAATCATTCGGCGAATCTTTAGATATTTCTACAAAGTTGTACGAAAATTGAAGAAGATTTCGACTTTTTCACGATTTTGAATTTTCCAAAAGGTTTTATTGTATCTACACCGTTCCGCAATTTTGGAGAACATTCCATGATTCTTCGCACAAGTAAAAATCCCTCAATTTCTTGTATATAATTTTTCCTATAAGTTGCAAAATATTAAATAACACAGACGTGAGATATCAAGCCAAAACGAGGGGCGCCGCACATACTCCAAGAAGAAAGAGTGTGAGATCCCCATCTTCAGAAAACTGGTATAAAGGGGGCTGCAGAGCACTTGAAAAGTCTCTTCTGTCGCGATTCGAAAGTTAAAAAACACCACCATTAAACATGAATCATGACATCAAACAAAATGGGGTTGAATAAGCCAGTAAAAGCGACTGAGAAGTCGCAAGGAAGGCAGGAAATGCATTCACTCACACGAAAAACCGTATGTACGCTAAATATATTTCAATTATACACACATATAATTCGCCCAGAACTGCAATATATCAGATATACACTGAGAAAAAAAAATATTTTTACCAAGAATATTTTCTTCCTACTAGTAAATCTGGGGATCACTGTGTAAATACTCCCATAATACTTACTAATGCCAAATATATTTTCTTGTGGTTAGTAAATACTCTTGGCTAAAGAACATTTTTTTCTCAGTGTACGCCGGATATATGTGAACACATATATCTAACATATACATGAATTATATTCTCGGCCAAAAATCCACTGTCACATATAATTTTCAGCATATATTTTTTTTTTCGAAAGGGCAAAGCACCTAATGGTTCTAGGGACGACTCAAGGGGGTCTAGGTCGGAGGACCAAGAGGAGCATCCGAAAAGAACGGAAAAATTGGTTGAAAAGAAATGCAAAAGCAACCTTGGCGATGGTTCTAGGTCCCTTCGTAGGCAACCTCTGGGTAGCCTGGAGCAGTGCCATGAGTCCCAATTAGGAATCCCATAAAGTTAATAAATATTTAAATTATAGGGGTCCAGTACAATCACAGTGGGAACAGTAGAGGTGGCTACAAAATATGTGTCCCATGAGACGTATGCGAATTGCAAAATGGGAAAAGTCGGCGACACGATTAATAAAAAATAAATTGAACAATCAAAACTTGAATAAAAATATTATCGAATTCAGCGGTGTGAGAATTCGTTCTAATTCTTAAGGTTGTTGTCGCGCGACAGTCTCTGTAAAAAGTTTATCCGCTGTAAAACGGGCCAGTTTAGAACACAATCTTTTAGCGGTATATAGTCTCACTTGATTGATTGCATTGTGCATGGATA